CAAAAAAAATTGATGTGTGGAGGTAGAGATACTTGCTTAAAAAAAAAACAACAGTTATTGGGTTTGGGGGAAGTTGGGTAGAAGTTAACTGTAATTAGTTCAGTGCAATCCATAATAATGAAAGATGGTGCTGTGGAATGAACCTGCTCAGACTCATCTGTTGGAGAGTGGAGGTGGGTTTTTTTTGTTTTTGTTTGATTGTTTGTTTCTTTAGGGTTTGGGGTGGTTTTTTTTGTTGTTGTTTTATTTTTGTTTTGTTTTGTTTTGGTGGTTTATTTTCTAATTTACTAAAGGACTAAATTTTTAGTCCTCATGCTAGAGGTAATTGCTTGTTAGAAACTTAAGGTCAGTGGCCCTTGTTATGGTTTGACTGGCAGTGGTTTAAACAGATCCTAGCAAAATGAAGCAGTGCTTTAATTGTGGCTGATGCTTTTAAGTTTAAATGAAGCTTTGTTTCCTGAGGTCATTATGGTACCAAGTGCAATTTCTTTTCTAAGGAAGTTGGGTCCAGGGATATTTTAGATTACCCAGAAAAGATTCTCATTTAGACTACAGGAATGAAAACACATCTCTGCCAAAGGGTTTGCTCCAGGCCATATGAATTTAGCTTCATTATCTTAGCAGAGCCAACGTGAGAAAATGTGGTTCATGATGGAGAGTTTCATTGGAGGATATATGTAGCTAACATAAAAGCTGCTTATGTACATGTATTTGTAGAATATCCAAATAAATCCTGATGTGAGGGTACAGCACTTGGAATAAATGCAGTGGTGCCAAAGTGTTGAGGGAAGAAGGGGACCTGGATTACTTCATCAGTGCCTGAAGGGGTTCTGCAGCATCTGTGCACCATGGGCTCCCTTAAAGGAATTGATGTGGTGTCATCCATGTCATAAGTCATGGCCAAAATTTTAGGACTTAAACGCAGGGGTTTGAAATCTTCAAAAACTCAGACATTGATGACAGAACAGTGTTCCTGCCTTTATCAGCTCGTCTCTAAATTCAACATGTCACAAGAAGGTGTGCAGAAACCTCTCAACAAAAATTTCACAGAGCAGTCTGAGTAAAAGTGTGCTTCATTTCAGATGTGCACCAGCACCGCTGCTGCTGGCCTCTGTAGTGGGTTGGACAGAAGCTAGCATTCCTTCTGGGAGCGTGCTGACACCTGCTCAGGATGGAGCTGATACGCCTAACTTACTGCCTGAAGTGAAAAATACTACCCAGAGTAATTACCCCAACAAACGTGTCAGAAATAGATACTTGGGAATAATATTGCAGTGGCAGTGTTTCATTACTTTAAACGTTCTGTCACTCCCCTCAGAGCTCTCCTGGCAAGGCAGGCCAGCCCAGGCCCTGCCGTGATCGTGTTCAACAGCAGCGGCATGAGGAGAGGTGACAGCCGCGCTTCCCTCCCACGTTATTCAGTGTAGCAGCACACCCAAACTGAGCTGGGAATGTATGTATTCACTGGATAATGTCTGTATCGCATTAACAAGCTTTGACACTAATGCTAATGCCTCACTAGAAGAAACATGACAAGTAGGCTGCTTCAACGTGCATTCAGCACTGAAAGATTTCTAGCACACACAGTGAGACTTTCTTTGCTGCTTGACAGCTTTGGCTATCTCAAATCTGCTTGGTCACAGGGGAGGTGCAGCCGCAGTGCTGCCTTCCCTCCCTTGGCAGCACTGGGGCCCTGGTGCAGAGCCCCATTCTTCGTGTGCAGGCACGGACATTTCATCCTCAGGCCCGTTTCCTTCGGGGTGTCCCTCGGCAGCCGCTGCACAGGAGAGCGGGCTCTGTGGCTTTGCCGGGCTGTTGGACGGGTGACAAAGCCAACACTCCTGACGCTGCAGAGCTTGCAGAGAGAGTTTGGAGCGGGGAAAGTTGTTGCCGTCTCGTACGGGTCAACCCGACCTCAACTTGGCATCACTGAGATAAAGCGGCAAGAGCCCCGGGTTTAAGAGCAGCAGAACCCGCCCGAGCCGGGGTGTCTCGGGGCGGCAGGGCCCCTCCCAGCGGGCACCGTGCGCGACAGCCAGCCGGCAGCGGGGAAAGGGAGCCGGCAGCGGGGAAAGGGAGCCGGCGGGGGAGGACGGGAAACGGCAGCGAAGGAAGGCAGCCGGCAGCAGGGAGAGAAGGAAAGGAGCGGGCAGCGAAGGAAAGGAGCAGGGAGCAGCGAAGGAAAGGAGCCGGCGGCGAAGGAAAGGAGCAGGGAGCGAAGGAAGGGAGCAGGGAGCGAATGAAGGGAGCAGGGAGCAGCGAAGGAAGGGAGCCGGCAGCGGGGAAAGGAGCAGGGAGAGAAGGAAGGGAGCGGGCAGCGAAGGAAAGGAGCCGGCGGCGAAGGAATGGAGCCGGCAGCGAAGGAAGGGAGCAGGGAGCAGCGAAGGAAGGGAGCAGGGAGCAGCGAAGGAAGGGAGCCGGCGGCGAAGGAAAGGAGCAGGGAGCAGCGAAGGAAGGGAGCCGACGGCGAAGGAAAGGAGCAGGGAGCGAAGGAAAGGAGCAGGGAGCAAAGGAAAGGAGCGGGCAGCGAATGAAGGGAGCAGGGAGCGAAGGAAAGGAGCGGGCAGCGAAGGAAAGGAGCCGGCGGCGAAGGAAAGGAGCAGGGAGCAGCGAAGAACGGGAGCCGGCGGCGAAGGAAGGGAGTGAGCCTGGAGCGGACGCGTGGAGCGGGGCTGCTCGGGACACGGAGCGCTCGGGACAGCGACTGCCCGCCGCGGCGTGCGCGGGGCTCTCGGGACGGTCCTGCCACACTCCGGGGACTGACCTAAAGCTCGGACTCGTGTCAGTCGGGGAGCTCTCGGGCACGGGCACCTTTGTGTTTTCAGAGCCTGGGGAGCTGATGCAGACCTGGCTGACAGCTTACGGCGCGCCCGGCCAGAAGATGCTTCTCATCCCTCCGGCACTCTGGGAGAGGGGGAAGCAGACACTGCACATGGCCACGGCCCTGGCAGCTCCTTCCCAGCCTGCGCTTTCTGACCATTGGGAGAGGGGGAAGCAGACACTGCACACGGCCACGGCCTGCGCTTTCTGGCCGCCAGAGGTTTTAGGGACTGCCTGTCTCAGAGAACGGTCGGAGAAACAGATTTCTTGTGATGGGGTGCAACACACCACCTTGGCAAGATGGTAGAACCACCCCAGTTTCAGGTAACCATGTCCAATTTCATATTGAGGTTTTTTTAACATCAATGGTAGCTTCTTGCCAACAAGTTAATAATATCCCTCAGCACCATATCCATCAGCCCCAACTGGTCTGCAGCTGTCAATAGAGGAGTGGATTTTTGCTTTGTAGTGACCACGGTGAGCAGTGATGTTCCAGCTGAGGCCCAGGCACAGGCCTCCTTACCCGTGGCAGGGATGTGGCCCTGCTTCCAGCTGGACTTTGAGGCTGGGCCAGGGAGAAACACCCAGGTCTCGGCTACAAGTAACACTAAATGTGCGCAGCTGGAATTAAAGCACTGGCACCCTCTAGGACTAAGTGGCTGTCCCTCAATCAAGTGACTGAGTTTCCTCCTGTGTTTTTGGAGGGCCAGGATTGTGATGTGTTCTCTCCTGTTTCTGATTTCTTTCCAGGCTGTGGAGGTGCACATACAGCCCCTGGCACAGCCACGCGAGTTCCTTTGTGCTGCGCTGGCTGGGAAGCTGTCCGACAGAGCCGCGAGTGCTCAGGCAGCTGCTGAGTGGCTGTGCCCTTGCTGGAGAAGTGCAGGGCACACAGTAAAGGAGTGTTCCCTTTGGCTCTGAGCTTCCGCTCTCACTTGTTGCAGTGCGCCGTGGGCAGCTCTGTGGACAGCAGGGCTTTGGCAGCCAAGTTTGTACCTCTGTCTGTGACACGGCCACGGCCAGGACAAACCCCACTCCCGCCCGTGACCCAGGCAGGGGCTGACACACACACACGTACCACGGGCTCCCCATTTCCCGGGTGGGTGCCCACTCCTCCTCATCTCCTGGAGGAACGGATTGCTCTGGATTACCTCCATTTTTTCCAGAGAACCTTTGGTCCTCCAGGAGGAAGGTTTTGCCCAGGTGATAAGTGTTCCCTGCTGGGGCCTGGCTTCCCACATCTCCGCGGTGCCAGGTGCCCTGCCTGCCCCTCTGTCCTGGTGCAGAAGGCTCCTACCAGGCAGCCCTGGCACGCCGCCCTCCCTCCCTGTGAAGCTGGGGAAGCTGTCACAGCCCGGGGCACTGTGATGAGGGAAACTGACTTGTCACTGTGGTCTGTGCCTGCCGGGACATTTGGGGTTCCCTCCAGCCTTTTTTATTTTGGTTTGGGTTTGTCTGTTTGCTTGTATCTCTAGGTTTGTTAGTGTTAGCTTGAGGATTGCTTTCGTTCCTGTTGCAGTTTCTGCAGTGCAGGTCCCTGGGTGATCCCCATTCTGGGAGTTATGGGGAGGAGTCCATCCCTGTGTCCCCAGGCGTGCTGTGGTCAAGCTCCCTCACCCCGGGCCGTGACGGTGAGGCTGCTGCTCTCGTGCCCATTAATTAGCGCGAGTGCAGTCACAGCCTAATGATCTCCTGCCCATCCCGCGCTCCCGGCTGTGTCCGTGCGAGGGCCGGGCCGCCCGCGGGACGCGGCAGCTGGAGAACACCGAGCGGGGCGTGCTTAGCGTGAGGCGGCGGCGCCGCTTGCCCGCCCTCAGGGAGCCGAGCCGAGCCGAGCCGAGCTCTGCCGAACCGAGCCGAGCTCGGCCGAATGGAGACAGCGGCTCCGAGTTCAGCCGAACCGAGCCGAGCTCTGCCGAATGGAGCGAGAGGTTCCGAGCTCGGCCGAATGGAGCGAGAGGTTCCGAGTTCAGCCGAACCGAGCCCAGTTCGGCCGAACCTAGTCGAATCTAAGTGGAAACAAAGGTTAAGGGTCAGGAATGGTTTGTTAGCCATCGAACCACGAACTGCTCTGGTGTGGAATGCGAGCCGGCTGCCCGGGGGGCGCTCCCGCAGTACCGCTGTGCGTCCCGCAGGGGGCGCCACGGCGGGAGCTGCCCCGCGGGGCGGGGCCCCGGCCGGCGCATGCGCCGTGCGCGCCCCGCAGCCTTTCCCGGGGAGCCGGCGCGGCCCCGGCGGGAGCTGTGGCTTGGCGGGGTCCCGAGAGAGACGGGCCCGGTCACTGGGCTTAACGGGGAGAGCTTTGGATGTGTGCGGCGGTGCACGGGGCGCTGCGGAGCTCGGCCCGGGTGAGTGCGGGCTCTCCCAGCTCGGGGCCATCCCGGCCTGGCGCCTATCCCGCGGCAAGCGTGACTCGCTAGAGGAGGGAGCCAGGAGGTGCCATGGAACCTCCAGCCTACACAGGTGTTTCCCAGCCATGCTGGCAGCAGTCCAGCTGCGGGGAAGCTGCCGAGGAGGCAGCCCGGCGCTGCAACCCAGAACGGGCCTCCCCCGCTGGGCTCTCGCAGAGGATGGGGCAGTTGCAGCCCCCGCGTCATTCCCGTGGGATTCGGTAAGTCCAGGGAAGCGTTTCCTGACCGGCCGTGTCTCCAAGGCAGCTCGTGCCTGGCAGCCCGGCTCGGCACAGCTCGGTCCCCGAGGGAGGCAGAGCCTCCAAAGCGCGGGCCAGGCTGGGGCCGGCAGCCCGAGGGAGAGGAGGCAAAGCCGCTGCACCAGCCCTGCGCCGGCTGCCCAGGAGAAGCCTGAGGGGCACCGGGCTCCCGTTTGCCCGGAGAGCTGCAGCTCTCGGGGCTGAGCTGGGCCCTGCAGCACTGTGAGAAAAGGGGCAGGTCAGGGCCCTCAGCGTTGGCTGCAGTCTTTCAAAGCAGGTTTTGTTTTCACCACTGCGTTTTGCTGCCTGCAGGGACCTGTGGTGTGCATTGGGAGCTCCTGCTGGGGAAAAAGCTTTGTCTTCCCAGCCTCTTCTTCACCAGGGATGTCTCCATGCGGGAAACGGCACAGGGGACTGGCCGAGGGGCTCAGCCTGGGACACGGCCCCTACAGCAGCAGCCCTGGGCACGCTGGCAAGGCAGGATGAGCCCAGGTGAGGAGCACGGCCCCAGCGTGGCACCAGGAGAGGCTGGCACGGGAGGATGAGCCCAGGTGAGGAGCACGGCCCCAGCGTGGCACCAGGAGAGGCTGGCACGGCAGGATGAGCCCAGGTGAGTGCTCCGACCCGGGCAGCTTTGGGGAAGGTGGCAGGATGTGGCAGGAAGGAAGGAATGCCCCAATGCACGTGAGCTGAGGAGGTTGTGCCAGGCTGTGGCTGAGGAGAGTGTGCTGTGCTGCTGGTTCTGGTGCTGGCCCTGCTGTGAGGCACCTTGGGCTGGCAGCAGGCTGCAGCAGCGCCAGGGTCGAGGCTGTGCCCTGCCTCTGCATGGTGCTTGGCTGTTCCTGGGGAAGAAAATGGTTGTGCTTGTGGTTTCTGATTGTGGCCTGTCCTGCTGTGGTGTGGTTTGGGGCTGCCCTGGCTGCAGGGGGTCAGCACAGGACCTGGGGGTGGGATTCAGCTGTGCCTGACGTTCGTGGGAGCCGTGGCTGAGAGCAGGGGCTGCAGCACAGCTGCCCGAGGGTGGCTTCTCCCCACAGCATCAGCAGCCACCCAGTGCTGCTGCTGGTTTGGCTTCTGGTCACAGACACCTGGGGACGATCCTGCCCTGCCCCACTCCGGGTCCTTCTGTTTGTTCTGGGCCCTTTGTGGCCGGTGTCGTTTGCTGCTTAGTGCTGGGCTTGGCTCAGCGTTGCTGCATGGGCGTGCCCTGTGGTGTGTTCGGGCTGGGGCAGGGTTGTCCTGGCTCAGAGGTGTTTGTCAGGATGTGCAGCACAGCCTGTGGCTCCCCGGGCAGCCTGAGGGTGGCCGGGGGAAGGCGCCGGGCCAGGCCAGGCCCTGTGTGGGCACAGCCCACCCACAGCCCCCTGTTGTGTGGTTCCCACAGTGCCCCTCACTGAGCAGAGGGCTTGCAGCAATCTGTGCCTCCTCCTCTGCTTTCTGGGCAGAAACGTGCATTTTTTGGGCTGAGTCCTGAGCTCTCCCATGGAGAAATCTCCCTCCCTGTCCTCGGTGCGCAGTCTGTGCCCAGAGCAGGGGCAGCAGGGAGGGAAGGGCTGCCCCAGCCTGGGAGGGGGACAGGACAACATGTGGGTTGTGTGGGGCTGTGCTGTGCACCCTGGGGATGCTGACTGAGCCCCTTGTTGCAGAGACAGAGGAGACGCTGCTGCACCTCGTGCCCAGGAGAGCCCCTGGCTCGCTCCTGCTCTGGGATGGAACTGGGAGCCTCCTCCCTGCAGAGAGCGGCGCCTGGCCTGCCTTCCCTCCCGAGGGGACAGCCTGGGCTCGCTGCTGCTCACAGCTCCTGCTTAGGGACATCCACGCCTGGAATCCGGGCTGCACTAACTGGGCATCCAGCCACGAGACGTTGGTGCTGCAGCTGCAGGTAAGCTCAGCCCTCCCTCAGGGACACCTCTGCCTGTTACGGCTCCAGCTGATGGACACTCTGGACGAGAGCTGTTCCTGGTGCTCCCAGCTCCTGCTGATGGACCCCTGCTGACACTGCTCAGGATATTTGAGGACCCAGGTGATGTCTGTTCCCTCTGCTTGTTTCATTGCAGGTGTTTCCCAGTCCAGCTTGCTGAACCTCCAGCTCTGGCTGTGGCGTGTTCTTCAGTCCAGCTCTGGAACTGAGATGCTCCAGTTAATGGCTGCTCCAGTTCCTTCCAGCTCTGGCTTAATAACTGCTGCTTTTTGTTACTAGCCAATTTAAAGCCGATTTTGGCCAAGGTGTAAATGACTCACTGTCATCAATGACTTATAACTATTAACTGTCATAAAGTTATTGTTTAAATAGAAGTCCTAACTGTTGTAGTGGTTGTACACAATAAACAGTTGGATGTGGAAAAGGGGCTGACAAGTGCTTTTCTTTCCTGAGACTGCCTCAGACCCTTGAACCAGCCTGGGGCGTGCTGGCGTCCCTGCCTTTGGAGACCAAGAGAGGGTCCTCATCCCCAGCGCTCCCCAGCCTTGGCTTTGGGGGCTGAGAACGGCCCCCTGAGCTGCTGTTTCCAGGTCTCTGGGAAGTGGCACTTGCTCATTTTTCTGAGTCCCAGAAACACTGGACTAGACTTGACTTTTTCTGAGCTTCACAAACATCGGGCTGTGCTTTTGGGACCCAAGGTCAACCCCCAGAGCTTGGTTTCTGCAACATTTAGTCTCTGTTCTCAAAAGGTGAAAACACAAGATTTAGTTTTTGCCTTTAGACCTAAACCCACTGGATTTAAGCTCTGGTTTCAACTGTGGAAAATGCAGGACTTGGTCCCTTTCTGAGCTCCAACCTCAAGCCCCTCAGCGTGTTCCAAGCACCCAAAACATGCCATTGGCAGTTCAGAGCCAGCACTGCACCTCGGTTTGTGACCCCGTGTGTGAAGTAGCAGTGGGCAGCTGGCAGGGTATCCAGTTTATTTATTCCTGTATCCAGTTTATGGGAAGTGCTTGGGACTGGGATGGAGGCACCGTCCTGTGTCTCTGTGGGGCAGCACCCGGAGATGTGGGGAATCGCTGAAGTTTATTTCAGCTGCAACACCTCCCTCCCGGCCCGGGAGCACAGCCCAGCCGGGTACACCCGCTTCCAGGTGCACATCCCTCCTCACAGCCCACGCTCCTCCAGGGCTGCCATGCCCCGACCCCCGAAACCTCCTCCACGAGGAGCCTCCCGCCTGGCCCCCGACCTGCGCCAGAGGAAACCGCCCCCCTGCTCCCAGCGCTCCCCGGGGAAAGCCCCGGGCGGCAGCAGCCGCTGCCCTCCCCGCCCGGAGCCGCAGGAACGCCCGTGGCCGGCACTGCCCGGCCCGCAGCGGGAGCGCCAGGGCCCGCCGCCGAGCGCCGCCATGAGGCTGCCCCCCTTCCCCTCGGCCCCGGAACTCCCTGCCCGGCCCGGGCCATGGAGTGCCTCAGCCCCGGGACCCGCAGCAGCTACCGACGGGCCCTGCAGCAGAGCCCCGGAGCCATTCCCGGAGCCGCCTCCGCGCCCCGCGCCCGGGGCAGCGCCGCTCCGGCCCCGCGCTGAGGGGCGGGGCCTCCAGCCATGGCCCCGCCCCCATCCGGGCGGGGCGGCGGGCTCGAGGCGGAGCCGGGGCGCCGTGAGGCGGGGCCTGGAGGTGGGTGGGGCGGCACAAGGGGCGGTGCCAGGGGCGGAGCCTGACGGTACCGGGGGCGGAGCCGAGCTGTGCCAGGGGCGGTACCGGGGGCGGAGCCGAGCGGTGCCAGGGGCGGTACCGGGGGCGGAGCCGAGCTATATCGGGGCGGTACCGGGGGGGTGGAGCCTGACGGTACAGGGGGTGGAGCCGAGCTATATCAGGGGCGGTACCGGGGGCGGAGCCGAGCGGTGCCAGGGGCGTGTCCGAGGGCGTGTCCGGGCGGTCCCGGGGCGGGGCTCGGGGCCAGCTCAGGTGTGCAGGGCGGGCCCGGCTCAGGTGCGCGGGGCCCCAGCGCGGCTGCGCGGGGCGGGGCCGAGGTGATTTAGGCCCCGGTAATCGCCCCTTCCGCCATTTGCTCACTCAGGGCGAGGTGCGGGCGGGAGCTCCCCGTGCGGGCTCCGTAGGTGAGGCGCGGAGGCTTCGGCCTCCCCTCCTGTCCCTCTCTCTACCCCTCCTTCATTCCCCGCGTATTCCCTTTCTTTCTGCCCCTTCCCTCTCCCCCTCAAACTCTCCTTTCCCTTCCCCCCTAACCCGACCCCCCCACAGTCCTTCCTGTCCTGTCTCTTCCCCGCTACTCCCTTCTATTCCCCCTCTCTCCACCGTCCCTCTCCCCCCCGGCCTTTCCCTTACTCTCCCGCTTCCCTCCTCACACCGACCTCTCTCCCTTCCCGTCCTCACCCCCACACCCCGCGGCTGCGGGGAGAGGAGGAGAGCAGGGGATGGAGAACGGGAATAGGGAAGTCGAGGGAAGGGTGACAAGCACGGGGCAGGCGGGGAAGAGGTCGGGGTGTGCTGGGCAGCAGGGGAGGAGGAAGGAAAGGACGGACTGACGGCAGGTTGAGGGGAAGGAGGTGAGAGGTGTACGGGGGAAGGTATCATGGAAAGGGGGCAGGTATCATGGAGCCGGGGGGGGGAGAAGGAAGGAAGAACGGATGGATGAGCAGGATTGAGGGCAGGTGGGGAGAGACTGGAGTGGGGGCGAAAGGGAGCAGGGAAAGGGGACAGGGGGAGCCCGGTTGGGGATGGAAGGAAGAGGGAAAGGATGGAGGAATAGGGTAGGGTTGAGGTGTGTAGTGGAACAGGAAAGCGGGATGGGGGGCATGGGTAGGAAGAGGAGGGCAGAAAGAAGTATAGAGAAAAAGAAATATAACAGAAAAGCAACGCAGAAAAAAAAAGAAATGTAGAAGAAAAAGAGATACGGAGCCCAGCCGAGCGCAGCCTCCCGCAGCAAGCGCCGAGGAGCAAATGGCTGCGCCCCGCCCTCACCGCGCCTTAAATACCCCAGGGCCCCGCCCCGCGCAGCCGCACTGCGGCCCCGCGCACCTGTGCCGGCCCCGCCCCGCCCGCCCATAAATCCCTTGGGATCGGCCCCCGGCACGCTTTGTGCGGGGGATGCTCATGTCGGCGTGCTGCGGGACCGGCGCTGCGCGGAGATCCGGAGCGGGGCTGCTCCCGGCGCGGCGCGGTGTCCGGCGCGCTCAGGTAGGACCGGGATCGGGATCAGGGCCCGGGGGTTCGGGCCCTGCTCCTGCCGGTGTCAGCTGCGGGAGCCGGGCAGAGCCGCTTCTTCCTCGGCAGGCAGGGTGCGGATGTTGGGGCTGGGATCGGGACCAGCATTGCCGCGGCCCGCACCGGGGCTATGCCGCTGCCCGACCGCCAGCAGGACAGCGATTCCCTGGAGCAGACGCTGGATCGCGGCTGGAAGCGGGCAGGACACGGAGAGCGGCCGTGCCGGGCCCGGGACCCACCGGCACCGCGGCCAGCGCACGCCGGGGATCCCGCCGAACGGGCGGGGCCGCCGGGAGCAGCCGCTCCCGCTCCGGCTGTGGCCGGTGTGGGACCGCAGCCCTGCCGGGGCTCGCTCCTGCTCTGCCCGCTCACCAACACCTGCCAGGCGAGCCCTGATGCTCTCCTTCCTCCCCCTCTTTCCCTGTGGCTCGCAGTCTCCGATGGAAAAACAAACCCTCGTGTTAAAAAGCCAGTGAAAGGTATTTATTCTTTATTTCCAGAACCACGAGGACCATCAAGTCAAAGGCTAAGAAACGAGTGGCCCAGCTGCACATGGAACACAGAAATGTGGCCCTCTCAGCAGCCTGCTCCAAGCACCTGAGGCAATCCAGGATCATGACAAGTGCCTGCTGCCAGTAAGAGAGCTCCTGTACAAATGCAGCTCCTTCCCTTTGGCTAAGGCTGCTTTACACACCAGTGGCTGCAGGGCAGAACTGCTGGCACCTGACGTGACAGCACCAAGCTCTTCCCATACCCCCGATTTTTCTGCCCTTTCCAGGATTTGCTCAGCTGTAAATGTGCTCACACCACGTCCCTTTGCAGGGAGAAACAATCAAGATGAGTCCCCAGGGTTACCTTGGTCCACGGCTGAAGCTCTTCTGGAGAATGGCAGGGGGCATTTCCTGCAGGTGAGTGCTGCCAGGTCAAATCGATGGTGGCTGCTGAGGCCAGGGCTGTTTTCCCAGCCCAGAGGCCTTGGTGTCTCCTGCTCGCTGCCAGCAATGTTCCCCCAGGGCAGGGGGAGGCCAGGAGCCCCCGAAAGGCAGCAGCACCTCTTGTCCTTGGGATCTGCAGGGCACTGCCTGCACCGTGGCTGCTCTGACCAGGACATGGAGATGCTCCAGCCCAGAAGGACCCCAAGGAGCCGCTGGCATTACCTGGGAATGGTGGCACAGGCTGAATGTAGAAGGGCTCAGACAGCAATTCCCAGTCTGGAGCTCCCACACAGCTGCCAGGTATGTCCCAGCAACCCCAAATCCCTCCTCTCCAGCCCGAGGCCATCCTCTATCAGCAGCATTAAAGCCAAGGCAATCTTCCCTCACAGACATTAAATCCCAAGCAACAGCCCTCAGAGATACCTGAAAATCCGAGGTTTGGGATGAGGTCTGGAGTTTTTCAGGGAGCCAGCTGAGGTGCAGAAGTCATGGAAAGCTGTCACAGGTGAGTCCCACTGGAGGTGCACTGAAGACAGGGATGTGTGTCCCTTTGCTGAGGGAGAAGAACTTGTGGAGGCCACTGCTGAGGCTTGAAAGGAGCTGAGCTTCTGCAGGGAGAGGTGTCCCAAGCTGGGCACAGGGCTGCCTCAGCACGGGCTGGGAGGGCATCCAGCCACTGCCTTCTCCTGCTTTGGAACATCAACTGGAGCCCTGGGGGAGGGAACATCAGCTCAATTCCAGGCAGCTCAGTCAAGTGACCCCAGGGGCATCACTGGGGTCTGGTTATAAATAGCCATTTCTGTGGAATGTAAACCTGTCCTTGTCCCAGTGTTGTACTCCATGAGGCACTGGGAGGGTACTGCAGCAGGAATGGAGCAGGGAATTTGGGGCTATGGGTATAATTCACTAGAATTAGCAAGGCTGACAGAGAACCCCAAATCTGGGCACTACACAGAGAACCATCTTTGTCCTGCTCTGCCAGCTCAAACCCCTGGCCTGGAAAGTTTTGGGAATTACATGTACAGAATTATACAAATCACAGCAAGCAGTATCACCCAGAGGGACAATCCAGGTCCCAGACAATTCCTCCACAACCATTATGGGGGAAAACACCCTGTGCCTGCCAGGAGTTCTGACTCTGCTTTTCCTACCAGCTCCTGAGCAGTGTCAGGGCCACCAGGAGGGCTTTGAAATCCAAATAAACCCCATGTCCCACACAGTGAATAATCCAAATTAAAAAATGCATTATTGTCATCGAAAGCTCAAAACTGTGTTAGGAGTTCCATGACAACAGGGCAATGGGATTCCCAGGATCTCATTAAGGCTGTTATACATATTTTTAATCCCTCAGTGGGCAGCCTGTAAAACTTAGGGGCTTAGAGGTTGAGCAGGTTTGGCTTTGGGTTGACCTTCACCTCTGGCCCCAGTCTGTGCCAACACAACTTGTGCCAGGGTGGGTGAACTCCTCACCTCAGCTATTCCCTCCTAAATATCCCCTGCTTATTTCCCTGTAGATAAACTCAGAATTTGCCCCAAACCATCCACTCCTCACCTCCATGTGGCCTCCAAGTGTCTGTTCTGTCCCTCACAGGTGTCCTGGTGACAGCACAGTGGTCCCTTTGCCCTTCTCCAGCTCGAGGCCGCTCCTCTCCTTGTTCTTTGCAGTCTCATCCCACAAGGATCCTCTTCTCTCTTCCCTCCAGCTGCTGCCAAGGAAGGGAGGACACAGTGAGCAATGACCTTAGCAATTCCCTCAAAAATGCCACCTCACTCTCCCTGACATCCCCTCACACTTTCCTACACAAACAGTTCTTGTGTCCCCTCTAAAGTACACCAGGCTTTCAGCTAAATGAATGGCATAATCTGTGCCCACTGCTCATGATTCACCCAGCCAAAAGCAAGAGCAAGTGTTGGCTGGGCTTTAAGAACTTGAAATAACTTTGAAGCAAAATAAATCACCTTTTCCTTACGTTTTCTTTTCTTTCAGATGCTGGACTTACCTCTGTGGACGTGTGCTGAGCTCCTGCTGGAGGGGACTGTCAGGCCTCAGTGGCTGTGAGTTCGTGTTCTCACTGGGGAATCAGGAATTTCCCCCAGCCCCTTTTCCCAGGCTGTTCCGTGTGGCTGGGGCACAGCACAGGCAGATGCAGCTCTCAGCATTCTCTGCTCCAAACACAGCTCTGGCCTCCACTGCAAACTGCCTCTGCTGTGAGGTTTTCTCCTAGAGAAATCAAGGAACAGCTCATGGCAGGGTGGAGAATAAATTATCACGAAGAGAAGTAAATAAAATATTTCTGCAAGAGCCCCTGGGATCTGTTGGACTGATTTGGGAAGGGGCATTCACTCCCTGCAGTGCAAACCCACCCCAGTCCTCAGGGACTTCTGCCACCAGCTCTGAGCCTGACCAGCCCCAAGCTCTGTCTGCAGCCCAGGGACAGAAGGACACTCCAGGGATGAGGCCCATTCCCAGCAAACGCTCCCAGCACGGCACAGAGGCACCCCTGGAGCTGGTGTTGGGGCTGGCAAGGGCTGCCAGGAGGACACAGCCCCCCAGGTGGGGTGGCAGTGACAGTGACAGCAGCAAACTGCCACGGCCTGATGGCACAACAGAGACACAAAGGCCAGCAATGCCCATGGGGGGTGCACACTTAGTTTTGCTCCCTGTGCTGCCTCATTCCATCAGCAGGGAATCTCCAGGGGGGATGGAAACTCTGAGGCTGTACAAAACACAGCGTCTGTCACCCTGATCCTGCTTCAACTCAGCATGTGGGGCCAACTCCTCCCCCTTCCCCCCAGCCCAGATACACACTCCCCAGTTCCCAACACCCTGCTCTCACCTCCAGCCTGCTCCCAGGGCTGCTGCCACGTTCCTGACAAGATGGCAAAGGCCACTCTGGACAGGGCTCTCTGTGTCTCAGGCCTTGGGCACAGCAGGGACCAGGGCGCTCCAGCAGGGACAGCCTGGAACCAGAGCAGATCAACAGGGTTAGCAACAGGCTGGGGACAGGAATTCCAAAACCCAGAATTCCGAAAACAGCCCCCAAGATGTTCTACACTGCCACCTTTCCAATGGCTCCAAAGGGCACAGCTCCGGTGCCAGACCAGGACCAGCCCTGGCTCCCTGGAAAGCACAATAAATGAACCATCACACAGGCCTTGTTTGCACAATTCCTGATCCAACCCTCCCCTTTCCTGCCCAGCACTGAGGGACATCTGACCTGGCATTAATAAGTATTTTGCTGAGAGCAGTCACCACCCCAGCCCTCCAGCCTCAGCAAGATTTTGCAGTGAAAGGACCTCAGTTCTAATCCTTGATCTAAATTTCTGTCAGTTTTTGTTAGAAAGGTACTTGACAGTAAATCATATAAAATTTAAAAACTGCACAAGCAATAACAAGGCCCAGACCAAACCCAACCACCCCCATCACTGCTCCACCCCAATTTTTGGAAAAATATTGATATCATTTATAAATACTCCCCTTCCCTCCCACCCAGTCCTTCACTGCACATCCCTGGAGAGGATTTACTCCATCTTCTGTTCCCAACAGCACCTCTCCAGCCCAAATCCCACTCCTCAGACACAAACTAAGCAGACCTAAGGCAACTTTTCCAGCAGAGGATGCAATTCCTGAAGCCCGTTTTCCCTGGATTGCTCATCTAAGCACTTGCAGGAAACCCAGCTGCCCAGCCCAGAGACTCTCTGTGCTCAGAGGGCAGGACAGCCTGACAGGACACAGCCCTGGCACCACATTGCCCCTTGTTCCTGCTGCCCTGGACAGCCACAGATAAAGGCAGTCCCTCAGACCCTATCCCCGAGCACCAGGAGAGCTGGAGCTGTTCCCAGATCCCTGCACGGCTGTGCTGACAGCAGCACAGGCTGATCACTGCCCAGCATCAGCCCTCGTGTCCTCCCATTGCTCCCAAATCCTGCCAGCCCTCCCCTGCATCTGTGCCCAACCCAGCCTGCGCCAGCTGCCCCCTTGGCAGAGCTGGGAACACACGGAGAGCTCCTCAAGGCCCAGAGCAGTCCTTAGGGGCACAAGCAGTGCCCAGCCTGCCCCTCTGCACAGCCAAGCACCACAACTCCAACATCCCAGGGAACTCTGGCATTTGCCTCTTCCCCTCTGCCCTCTTCCAGCAGACACGGGTAGGGCTGGGCTGTCAGAAATGGCATTCCCTAGGCAGTTCATCCCAGGAAAAGAGGAATGCTGCTGTGTCCCTCTGACTTACCCCACAGCATGGGCAGGACCAGGAGCCCTCCAGCAAAGATCCCTGGTGCTGAAGCCTCTTAAACACCGAAGCTTTTGGCAAGGATGTGCAGAGTTTGATGATTTTTCCTGTCCTGAAAGAGAGGAGGAAAAGAAAATGAAGTCCACTGCAGAAGTCAAAGGATCCCAGCTTTCATATTTCTGCTCTGACTGCTCACTATGGGGCTTTATCCATGAGAGGTGACACCAATTCCAACATAAAGTGCCCTTTCCCAGCATTTTTATTCTGACTATTTCAGACATTAAAAGGATGTTAATTTTTCTTACTGCATTCTTTTGAGGTGACACCAATTCCAACATACAAGTGCCCTTTCCCAGCATTTTTATTCCTGACTATTTCAGACATTAAAAGGATGCTCATTCCTCTTACTGCATTCTTTGCCTAATTTTAACAGAACCATTTTCATCCCACACCCCACCTGTCAGTTATTCAATCCTTTACCACTGGACTCTGCACAAAGGAAGGGACACTCGGGATGCTGCATCACAGGAAATCCCAAAGAGAAACCCCTCCAAAACTCCACAGGGAAAGGTTTTTTGCTTTTGGGACACAAGAAAGGCCTTTAGACCATTTGCATCCACGTGAAAAGCCCACACTGAGATTTAAAGGTGCTGCACTTGAAGCTACAGATGTAGAATTGCTTTGGGATTTGGCATTTCCTGCACCCACACAAACACATTAAAAGTAACAAAACCTCTTGGTCCCCAGTTCCCGTTTCCCAAGGCAAAACACAGGGATCAGGTGGGGTCAGGGGGAAAACACCAACTCCAAAACCCAGCCAAACCAGTTTTCCTACCGGTTTCCATCGGGATTGTTCTGGTTTTCCCACTGGCCCTCAGGCACAGGAGCAGCTTCTCTCTGGGACCCACGGGGTGGGCACAGGGACGCCCATTTCCCGGAAAACGGAGCTCAGCCCAGAAATAAAATATATTAGCTTAGTGTACACGGTGGCACGAAGACAAGTGGAAGGTTAAAACCGAGCAAAAGAACATCTAAACTCAAAGGACCGTTTGAATGCGTACAAACTCATGAATATGCACGAACCCCCTGTAATGTAACAGAATAGAGAACACGGTTTACAGCCAAGCACCCCACGCTGCATTTCATCCCTTAACAAACCTTCACAAATTCTAAAGGGCGAGCTCTATCCCAGGGAACAGGATCCCAGGGAACAGGATCCCAGGGAAAAGGATCCCAGGGAGCCGCGGTCCCGGCACAGAGCCGTCCCAAACGCGTCCCCGCAGCTCCCTCCGCTCCGGGCCTCACCTGAAGGCACCGAGCCAAGGCCATCCTCGCCGCTCCTGGCACAGCACGGCACGATGGGGCGAGCCCCGGTGGCCAAGGGAGCGGGTGAGCCGGGATGGGGCGGCTGCTGCAGCCCTCTGTGCCCTCACGGCGCTCAGGCCGCGCAGCGCGCTGCTGCCACAGGCCGCCATTGCACCGCGGTGCACCTCGGGATTGGCCGAATCGGGCCGAGCGAGGCCGACAATAGCCGAGTGCGGCCGATAATGCACGAGCGTTCACGAAGGGCCGAATCTGGCCGAGATTTGCCGAATCGATCCGAGTTCAGCCGAGGTTAACTGAACGGAACCGAACCAGGCAAGCCGAACCAACGCGAGGTCAGCCGAACCAAGGTGAACTTTACGAGGCCGGTCGAAGCGAACCGAGCTGAGCTTGTAATGCAGCGAGCGGCTCCGAGTACGGCCGAACCGGGGCTACTGCTCTCGTGCCCATTAATTAGCGCGAGTGCAGTCACAGCCTAATGATCTCCTGCCCATCCCGCGCTCCCGGCTGTGTCCGTGCGAGGGCCGGGCCGCCCGCGAGACGCTCCGAGTTGCTCCGAGCAGAGCCGAGCCCGGCCGAACGCAGAGAGCAGCTCCGAGTTGGTCCGAACAGAGCCGAACCCGGCCGAAGGCTGCGAGCGGCTCCGAGTTGCTCCGAGCAGAGCCGAACCCGGCCGAAGGCTGCGAGCGGCTCCGAGTTCAGCCGAACCGAGCCGAACCCGGCCGAAGGCTGCGAGCGGCTCCGAGTTGCTCCGAGCAGAGCCGAGCCCGGCCGAACGCAGCCTCCTGCTCTCGTGCCCATTAATTAGCGCGTGTGATGGAGTTTTAGGCCACAGCGTTTCCCTGCCTCTGTTTCCCTCTTGCCTTCCTTGTGCTGTCTCAGCCTGCTGAACTTCATACCCCAAAACCGCCTGGTCCTCTTGACCTTCCAGTAAATCCCATCTTCCCTACTTCTCTCTTTACTGTATTCCTCAACAGACCATCCCTGACCCGTAAGCTTTTATTATGTTTTTTCCCCAAGTCTTGCCTTGTAATGTTACAATAGAAATAATTCTGTTATTAATTTTTTCTTTACCCCTGGATGTGTCTGAACAGCACATTCCCCAAAGGATTATACTGATGCTTCCCACCAGAACTGCATTTCAGTATTATCATATTCAGAACTTCATGGGAAGGCCCTCGCTGGACAAGCGACACAAACGGCACAGGGAGCATTTAATGCAAACTAAGTGAGAAAAAGCCACGTTCAGTTCAGAGGGAGGCTGAATCCCCGTAAGGAAATCCGCTGAAACAATAAGCTAGGTGATGGAAATTCAGGGTTTGGCTGCAGCCACCATCTTCTGGTGTGAAATGTTACTGTGTTATCCCAAATAGTCACAGAACAAACCAAAGAAAGGCATTTTAAACCCTAGGCTTATGAAGCGTAAGTGCAAATGAGATCAGATGTGCAAATTCAGGTGACATATAGAATGTAATCACCGTTTGTGTGGCTAATGGCCTTGTGTCCAAACCAGAACAGCTTGGAAGAAATTCTTGCCCTGCTCGTGCCTGTATTTGTCAGGAAGAGTTCATTCAGACAGCACAGAAAGAACCAACCCCACAGGAGTGACAGCTTCATTTCCCTCACCCTGAAACCCTGGCCAACAGCACCAGCCCGGTGTCCTGTCCCTGAGCTGTCTGCCAGAAGTTCTGCAGGACAAGAGAACTGACAGGATTCAAGTCTTGAACATCACATGGTGACAAAAACGGCCTCTGTAATTCCTACCTCTTAGCTGTGAATGGTTTTTACTTCTGCCCTCTGTGCTCCCCTGTCCCAACCATTTTCCTGGGCAGGATTACAAACTGTCCTTTGAAATAACGCACTTGCTGCAGCCTGAGCAGCTGCACTGTCAGCACCTTGACCTTCCCTTTCTGAATTCACATCCCAGCAGTGTGAACTTTTACAATTTGATGTACTCCACACAATTTCTAGGATGTTCTGCACATCCCTTTCCTCCCTCACAAGTGTCTCTTACCTGCATGAGACAAAGGCAGCTGAGGTGAGGCGCAGACACCAGGTAAAAAGCACCAGCTAGTGAGGAGGACACGGAGCTGTGCATTTTATTTTATTTTATCTATTTTATTTCCATCTCTGCAGCTGGGGCTCTGACACTGAACACCGCTCAGGCAGGAAGGAGCTGCCTGCTGTGCCCTGCGTGGGGCTGGGCTGGAGCCAAACTGCATCCCTGGGGAGGCCGTGGGCCCAGCCCTCCGTGGCTGTGACACAGCCTCTCACTGAGCACCCCTCAAACAGAACACTCAGGAAGGAACACCACCACTTATTCCAGCTACTGAGATGCCTTTCAGGACCCAACAGTGTTCAGTCAGTTCTTGCTTTGCAGTTCACGAGGTATTTCAGCAGTAGATTCCCTGTCATTGCTAAGAGCTCCTAAGGGGGAGAGTTTCCAGTTATGTTTTCCTAACAGCAGCTCAAAGCTTAAGCAGTTTCAGCACCCACCAGCCTGAAGCCAGTGGATCTCAGGCATCTTGCATAGATATTTCATAACTTAAATGGAAATTCTACCTGCAGTCTTAAATACATAAATATCTTCTGCCACTTGGCTCTACTGAAAAGCTTCCTGCTAATATAATGCAATATTTCTTTAACACAGGGATAACCATATTCCTAGTCTGCATATTTTCTACCAGCACACTGGTTATTTTTCTATGCCAGCCTCTTGGTGCCAGGTGACCCATCAGCAGGATTCAAAGCCTTGGGCTCTTCAGGGGAGTTTCTGCCCATGTTCCAAGTCAGACCCAGCATCTGATGTCGTGCATCTCCGCGGCTGCTTCCAGCCTGCACCCCAGCGCTGCAGGAGTTAATGGTGAGGAGAGCCTTGGCCCACTGGGCACTCTGGGAGGCTGCAGCCCTGCTCAGTCCCAGCCCCAGCAGGCAGCAAGGACAGCCCTCCGGCATTCCCGGCGTTCCCATCACACCGTGGTCTCTGTTTTCCTCACACTTCGACTGCGAAGGTGCTGCTGTATCAGCCTCTTCTCTCTGATGTACCTGACAGGGAGAAGGCATCCAAATAACCTCTGCAAACTTCCAGCCCTAATTCCAGCGAGCTGGACACGTGTGTGTCCATCCCCGGCTTTCGTGTCCGTGTCCAACTTTCCCAGCATAGGGAAATTTTATTTTCTATTGTTTTCTAAACGTTTCCTGGACACTTGGATTTAACACGATGATCTGTGCTGCTGTAGCCTCTCAGTGCTCCTGGACCTAGGAGAGGCTCACAAATAGGGGAGCTCCTCTGGCTTGTACCTGTGGGGAATTTTGAGCTGCTGCCAGGGGGATTCCGTCACTCACCTCAAGTTTTGAGGGGACATCTGGCACTGATGTGGCCTAAATGCCACAGAACCAAAATGGCACCACGTGTGGTACTGCATTTACCCTTCCCAAGGCAACAGCAGCAAGAACAAGCTGAGCCAGTCAAAGGCCCGGAAAGCAAACAGCAAACAAAATAAAGAGAAGTTACCCTGGGGGTCCAAATTTTTTTTTTTAAGACCCCACTCTGTGTGTAGTCTGTATTAATGATGGAATCTTTAAGAGCAGCAGGATAGGGAAAGGATTACAAACCCTCCCCATCCCTTCAGCCTCCCCATCACAGTGTTCTGCCTGCACTCTGCTACATCTGCAAGTCCTCCTCATGAGCCAATTGTACAGATTGCCCTGGCCTCTGTGACACCTCATTTTGTGTCATTTTGTGTACCTTGCAGTTGTCTGCTGAATCTCCTGCTCCTCCTCTTCGTTTATTCTGTGCAGAATGGATTCCAAAAAGGGAAGATGAAATGAAATGTACTGAGCAACCTAACAAGGAGAAGACAAGAAAGGCACTGCTAGCTGTGGTCACTGAGGAAAACTCCATGAACTGTGAGAAGTGAGGATACACTTACATCACTGCTGACCTCTTCCACGTCCCCATCCATGAGAAAGAACTTGGCAACCTTCTCAGAGGGCCCCTGCAGCAGCCTGTGCAGCAAGGGAACATCTCTACTCCTCAGCTGCTTCTTTTCTGGAATTTATCAGCAGGGTCATAAAACACAGAACATCCCACAGGGGCTCCATCTACCTCCTGCAGGCAAGAGCCTTTTCTCCTGACACAGATCCCATACTGACTCGAGTGCAACCACCAGATCCCTAACAGATCCCTAATATTGTGCCATTTAAAATCCCTTCTCCCCCAGCTCCCTCCCGTTCTCTCAGGTGTTCCCTTTACTAGAGATCAAATCTCCCTTTTCCTGGAAAAGGAGGAGTAAGCTGCTGTGGAAGTAACCTTTTCCCACTGATCAGTGAGTACTTTGAACTCAGCATATGCAAAGCTGTCAGCTGAAAGGGCCCACAATACAATCATTCAGCTTTTCCTCTCCGGAGCACAGGATCCTTCAGGATCTCTGAAGGGTCCCCGAGAAGGCAAAATGCCACAGCACACACACAGAGGCCTGGGACAAGTCCTGTTACCCCAAGGGACACATTCCACACACACAGGGAGTGATTAGAGCTGAAGTGATCAGGCAGCAGTGGCTGGCTTACCTCCAGACGCATGGATAACGTAAAGTGCAAATTCGTGGGGGCTGTTTTCTATCTGTGAAAAAAAAAAAACCAAAATCCATTCAGACTCACAGACCTTCCCAGCACTTCCCTCTCAGCACATTTTCCCTGTCTCAACTCAGAGATTTGGATCAAAGCCTGAGACAGGGATCCTGTCCATACGAGTTACAGACACTGGATCTGGGGAAGGCAGAAAGCTGTGCTGCCATGTTCACTGTCCCTGTGCCAGCCCCAACCCTTGTGTTCCCATGCTGCCCAAATCAGTAACACACTGGAAGCCCAGATCTTTGCTGCCTGCTTTCCTTGCAGCATCCTTCACTGCTTCTTATGGCTCACTTCTCTCAGATCACATGCAGATCTGCTGTCTGTGCTGCCATCAAGGCAAACCTCTGTGACCTACCCTCGTGCCTGACAGCCACATTCAGAAAACAGCAGAGCTTTTGAGCACTTTTATCCCTACAACTCTACTCCCTGCTCTGTAATTCCCTTCCTTATTACTCCTAGAAGTTAAGTTTTCCTTCCAAGACACTCACAAGTCTTACTAACCACACAAAGTAATTCTGCAACAGCGAAGTCTCTAGAAAAGATAAATGGGAAGTTTGAGACCATTCAAGTATAAATTAAACACTAAGCAGCCCTGCAAAATCAAGATATTTCAGAAATATGCAGCAGTAAGGGCAAAGCGACTTCTGACCACATACGACGTTGCCAGTGGGAGATGGTTCCAAGGAAATAAAAAAAAATAAATAGTTTCAGAGAGCATGGCACTGCCCTTGAGCAGTGCTTTTACCTTGAACCCTCCCATCTTTCCATACGCCTGGCTCTCAGAGAAATGTCATCCCAGACATTTAAAATTGCCCATCTGGGTGGTTTTTCTTCCACTCTGCTCCATGCACTATCCTCACATTGGAATGAACGTTCCCAGAACACAGCCACGCCTCCTCCTGCCAGCAGACTCACCTTAAACTTCCGGAGCAACTGTTCTATCACTTGTCTGGTCCTCATCTGGCTGTTGATTCTTATTTTGGTTTCCGACCCAAAAGCCGGAGTGAACACCGATGTCTGGGAACGAGAAGAGCCGCGCCGCAGCGTGAGGCACAGCGCACTGGACAGGGCTCCCTGTCCCCCAGGCGACAAAGCCAAGCCCAAAACGTCCTACCTCGTGGTTGTAGAAGTGGCCATTGATGGAGAACCTGTGAGTTTCCACTTCTGTCCTGGTTATGGTGGGGAGCTTGGTCCGCCTGCGCACGGCCGCGGCGTCGCTGCTGGTGCGGGGCAGGGTGGCACAGTCCAGCTCCTGCTCCCTCCTGGCCTTCAGCGTGTGACTTCCACAGCAGGGATAACCTGGCCAGAAGAGAACCACACATCGTGTGCAGCTGCTGGCCGCTCCCTGCCAGCCCCCCCAGGGGAAGGAGGCTCTATTTATTATTTTTGTGAGGGGGTGGAGCAGGAAAGGAACACGGCACAGAGATACAATGAAGAACAGGCTGATTGCAGCGGTTGCAGTTTGCTGCTTTGCTCCCTTGGGAATGATTCCTTGGATGAAAGCACAGCTCAATCCCACTGGCTGCTCACCAAGTCACCTGCACAACCCTAAGCAGCGCCAGGCTGGAGTTTCCCCAGCTCGCAGTACACGCTGCACAGAGCAAAGATTTCCCTCTGCTGGCAGAGGAGGCTGGAGGTGTGAGAGGCTTTTGCACTGTCACAGAACACAGAATTCTTGGTTAACCCGAGAGCACCGACACTAACTTTGCTCGAGGTCTGGCTGTTCCTCAGGAGATTTCAGGGTGTCCCCGCTGATGTGATGGAGGTCATCAAACTCTCCCCAGCGAGTCATTCCCCTGGAAGAACAAACACGGAGTTATCATTCACTGCTCCTCATTAACTCAGTGATTTCAGTTTATCCTGTGGCCAGGCTTCATGTCACACATTCCTATCCCTGCTCAGCTTACAGACTCCAGCATGGTAATTTTCGTTTAAGTCATAACAAAATCATATTAAAATACGGTATGAGCAGGGATCCCACATGCTACACATCCAATTTAAAACCTGTTGAACATCAACCAGGACGTAACTTAAACAGCTTGCAGCAATTCCTGATCTGTTTTACAGCAACATCCTGGATTAATCACACTCAGACTACCAGGCAGGCACGCAAAACACCCAAATTGTTGTTTAATAGTTACAGAGCACAGGTCTGTTACACAGGTTGAGTTACACACAGCCCCCTGTGCTGTCCAAACCAGATGTGTATGAGAGCAGCAAGCTCCATCCAGCCTTTCAGAAAACCTGCATTCATGTCAACATTTCCATAAATCATTGCCTGAACTCTTCAGCCTAAGGTCTTCATCCAGTTACTGCTCTGACTGAGAATAAACCAATTTGTAGTGCAATATTAACAATGAATTTCAAATGTATATGTATATTATGTATGCCCAACAATATTCAGCTACCCCCAATTTACACGCCAAACGAGATCTTGGTTGTATTCCACACATTTACCAAGTTCATTTAAGATCAGACAGCCAAGCTGCTCTGCATACCTTCAAGCATGTCAGGGCAGCCCCACGTTTCTGGGATCATGAGGGAATGTTTACTTTAGCATACAGATTTCCACCAGCCAGAAGTTTTTTAAGAACTGCCCTGCAGGCCACACCAGCAGACCTGGTCAAGGTAAACCATGAGCCAGAAATTCCCAAAATGCAGGTTCTTTCCTAGTTACTCCTGTCAAAATTCATCCCTGATTTTCAGCAGCCAGAAATGGGGAAGAAGACTTTACTGGAACTCCACAGCTGCAAAGGTGGCAGAATTAAATCCCCAGTTCAGTTCCAACATGTCCCACATGCAACCTAAGACAGTAAGTCATTAGAAAAATAAACTCTGCAATACTCAATTCATCAGGGAGTCATTCAGGGTGAACACTGGCTCTGCCTCTGTATTACAAGATTCAGCTCATCAAATTCACCAACCAAGGTTGGGGAAACAGTGTTCAAAACAAAGGAAAACAGTGTTCAAAACAAAGGAAAAGTACACCGAGTACCTGTATCACTGAGCACAACACACTGGGGTACAAAATGCCATGGGCAGCAGCTGGAACAGCTGGTCTGTGGGCATTTTAAGGGGTTTTTACACCAAATTTTGCACAGACAAAGCCACTGTCCATTCCTTGACTTGAACTTCACCTGAGCAGCAATGGCTCCAGACCTCCCACAGCTGGGAATGTAAGCTGGGACAGACTTACATTCAGCACTTACCTACCAGATTCTGGCTTCATGCTCTAGTGTGTGCACCAACACAAGGCCTCTCAGGGGCTACCAGTGCACATGGAAACACGGGGGGGTTGTTTGGGTCCTTTCCTATATTTCTACACACATCAATTTCCCAGTCCTTGCATAGGAATTGTCAGTTCCCATGAAAAAGAGCAGCCTCCTCCAGCTCCTCAGGCTGAGGCCAAACACAGGTGCTACAAACACACACCCTCCACCAGCCCAGCAGAAGCTGCTGAAAGGCTCTGCTGCCCAGCAACCACCACGGCCTTTGGGAAATCTGGGATATGCAGTGCAGCCAGCCACGGCCACTGAAGGCACAACACGAGCCATCCTGCGATGCCAGCCTCCCTAGGGAAGTGCACACATTACCTTTTGCTGGGGAAAAGCCCCACGTTCTCCGTTGACTTCAGGGTTACAAAAGAGGGGATCTGCTTCTCATCCTGAATCTTTAATCGGATCGGATGTCGCACGCCCCAGAATATGGAGAGGATTCCTTCAATGAATGGGGCGCTTCCTTCTCGCTGGAGAAACACAGGGAAATAGTCAGTGCTGCATAATAATGGAGTAAAAACAATCAACTAATAATAATCGATTACATTTTTACACTATTCATTTATTTCATTAGATGGAACATGTTGTGCAATAGCAACACCACAGCAAGTGGAGCTGTGAGGAGAAGAGAGCAATAATTTGTGATGTCCACATTAGTGGAGTTTCTCACCCCTAAATCCTCACCTGATTATATGTCAGTTGCAGATTCTCTTGATCTGAATAGTAAGAGTTATAATTCCTCAGAAGAGAACTGAGCTGCTCTCTAGAATAAAGATCACAATGGGAAAAAAAAACCAAAACATTTAACATCTCTGTAAAATGCAGGTGACATGTGGCAGGGTAACACCCCAAGAACTGAGCTGCTCTCTAGAATAAAGATCACAATGGGAAAAAAAAAAATAAAAAATTAACATCTCTGTAAAATGCAGGTGGCATGTGGCAGGGTAACACCCCGTAATTGTGCTACCCACTGCATCCTTGTGTAGGTTTATTAATGATCCACACATCATTTTCTGAGAGAAACATTTTGTCAAGTTACTGGGTTGCTCGTAACTTGCTTCTTTAAAGACCCGGAGGAAATTAATTAGTCAGTCTCACATGACCTTAATAACGCTGCCCCAGCACAGCTCGTACTTTGCACCTCTGCAGCAGCCATGAGGAGGAAGCAAACAGAACAAGCTCCCCATGCACCAATGCTGCAGGCTACTCTAACTGGGCTACACTTGGTTCTCCCTGCACGCTGGCTTCCACTCATGCTGCTTCAGATACTTTTCCAGTCTCCAAACACCTACAGGATGGCTGACATTCCTAGAAACAAAACAGCTTTGCACCACGTCTTTGCTGAGAGGAGAAAGGAAGGAGATGAAGAGAACCGCTGCCAACAAGCAAGGAGCCATGGAGGCAAAGCCAGCTGCAGCTCGGGCTGTGGAGGGCTGAACAACGACAGAATTAATTGAAATGCATTTCAAGGCCATCGAGAATGAAACACTCTTCCCCCCACCATTTAAAGACGACTCAGACTGTAATCCAAGCAAGCAATTCCCACCAGCAGAGGTGGTTAACCATGGGGAACGACTGCATGGAAGTGTACAAATTCTTCCTCGTGCACTAACGATTACAAAGGTTTCATGTCCTGCCTCGCAGCGATGTGTGAGGACACCGAGCTTGTTTCCAAAGAGTGCCTGTTATTAACACGTTTGTGGGAGCTGGTGGAACAGCAAGGCCCACAGACAGAGCACACAGCACCTGCAAACCCTGCAGCACACGTTCCTCAGAGAGCTGCTGGAGCTGTTCACAACTCGTGTACCATCAGAAACACTATCACAGCTCCTCCAGCAATTTTAAATAAAGAGGAACTGACAGCCCAGCACGGGGACAGGCCCCAGGAAGGTGGCTTTTCCCTGGGCCCAGGTGTCCACACACCAGAGAGGAACCAGGAGGGCAGGTAACATGTCCAGGCTGTGCTTGGGGCAGAGGACCGTGCAGAATATGAATATGGAAAGCTATCCTTGGCATACCAATCCCTCCCTCTCCACTTAATGAACAGGACAGTGTCCTGTTGCTTCAGAGAGCCTTCTCCCACCGTGAGAAGGGAGAAGATCAGCTGGGCTTTTACCTAGCAGGTAACATGAGGACAGGGGCTGCAGCACCAAACTCAAGGTTCATTGCATTCCCTGCTAATTCTGTGGATGTAAATTATTTACTTTACACTACTGCAATCCCACACACAAAAAATATTTTTAACTAGCTTTATCAACTGGATTCTAAACAAGGACTTGCAATATTTACTTCAACTTACTTTGGTCTTAAATCCTCAGAATACTGGTGGCAAAAGCCCTTCTTTGCACTGGGCTGAAATAACTCATTGGAAGTTCTTTGTGTCTCTGAGAGGGACTGCATTCAGGTCATCCCACCAAAAGGGAATGCAAATAGGTTTGGAGATGAATCAGCTGCAAGCCCAGCTCTGATCACACTGACTAGAGGTGAGCAAGATGAAGCACGCCTTGGCCCCGTACACGGGCAAGCTCCAGATGCAACTCGTGATTACCAGGCAAGAAGGAGATAGGCAGCTCTGTCCAGCAGATGCTGTGACAGACCTGCTGATCCTGCTCAAAAGGTGCTTCACACTCAAGTCTCTGCACTTGACAGCATTTGGCAATCATTTCATTGACAGCTGCTATCTCACAAGTTTGTTCCAAGTAGGACATTGGGAAGGTGAGCTCCCTGAAGATGGATTAGAGATACTTAAGGACTTGGGGCACACTCACCTATTACTCTTAGTCCATGCTGACTGCAAAGGCAAATAAAATCACAGACTAACAGCAGTAAGTGGTCTAAGGGTCATCTCTGAAGCAGATTCTGTTTCTCAGAGCAAGCCCTCGAGATTTCCACACAGTTTCTTGCCTTGTCTGGAAAAACTTGCCATTACCTTCCTCAGAAGTTTGCATAAGTAAGTCTTTCAGGTTCCAGCCTTGCATTAGTGCAACGAACAGTGACAAACCACACAAGCAATTAGAAAAGCCCTGAGGGAGAGATTAACAGCAGCTCACTCTGACTTGTTTGTCCTTGTGTAGTAGAAACATGAGAGAAAAAAAACCCACATTTTCCTTCTTTTTGTCCCAGAAGGGAATATGTGCACCAGCCTAGTTCCAGGAGTATTCTTACTGTAACACATCTTCCTGCTGCCCTAACCTAGAGACAGATGCCATCTCTGCTGAGTCTGGTGTCTGGAAAATCAGCAGCTGCTGTGACAACAGCCAAACACAGCCATTAACAGAAATCAAAGCCAAGTAACTGGCAGAGCAACTCAGCCCAAAAACGTAACGTGCAGATTCCCCACTTTCTGCAGCAGCAAAAGCAGGATACAAAGGAGCTGCAAGATCAGGTGCCCCGGTGGTGAACCACATCAGAGCCCAGGCTGCTCTCTGCAAACACTAACCCAGGACAGCTCACCTGTGCTGTCTCCTGCCCAAGCCCTGCACACAATCCCTGAGTATTTACGGCAGTTTTGCTGGAGACGCAGCAGTTCAGCCAGCCAAATCATCCCACAGCCTTTGGTCAGCCTTTTGATCCAGCCGTTGTGCAATTCCCAAACAGCAAGCTTGCCCCATCAGCAAGATTGCAGGATAGAACTGGAAGAGAAGCAGTGTAACAGCAGATTCAAGGTAGAGATGAGGGATGACAGTCTGGAAATTGCCTTGGAAGCAAGCCTGAGTGCATAGGGAATGTCAGTGGTTCTTGAAACGCTTATTTCCCGCGATGCAAGGTGAAGAAAGTTTAAACCATGGCTGTCATGCAGAAAGGTCTCAGCTGGGATGCACCTTTCACCACATGAACAGGCAAGTACATGGAGGAATAAAGCCCCAGAGACACTGGGTCACCTGGTACACCTCCAAACCCTTTTGCACGCCCAGTTCACACACATGAATCACCTCTGACACAAAAGCACTGCAGCCCAAATTAGCAGCAGGACAAAGGGAACAACTCTTGAAGAGAAAGGGAGTGATGCACCAGCTGCCTGTGTGCTCTGGGCAAAGCCCTGACACCCTTCCCTGAAAAGGGAGAAATCAGCATTGCCCAGGCCACACAGAGTATCAGGAGCCAGGAACAAATCTCTCCTGCAGCACCATGAATTCCATTGCAGACCCATCCCTGCCTGAGCCCACAGCTGGGTGCTTTCCCATGGGAAGCCCAAGAGCAATGGAAATGGGGAAGAACAATCCCACAAGAAAGGGCATGGAGCTAAATGCCAGGTGGCTCAGAGTTTGGGGCAGCAGTAGGAAAAATTCCTCCCAGGGAGACTGAATTGTGAAAAAGCATTCCAAAATGACAGTTAGACTGCAATTCCAAGCTTTTTTTTTTGGTGAAAGAGACACTTCCTCTGACCACAGCAGAGAGCTAGCAGCCCAAAATCTTTCTGCAGAGACACCCTGCAATCCAGGGCTGCCAAACCCCAAGCTGCAGACAAGCTGAGCTCAGCTCTGAAACTTATGGTCAATTCCAACAGATTTCCAAGACAGGAAGGTCTTCTTCCCTAACTTGTAATTTTCTTTCAGAATCCTCTAGAAGGGCTGTTTTTCTTAACAAAAATCACAGAGCCAAAGGCTTAATGCTCTGTTAATTCCATGTCAAGGCCAACTCTGTTCTGCAGGCAGGTTAAACTAAGTGGTAGGGATTGCTGTTGCTACAGGCTCAGCTCTCTACAGGATCCCCTGTCAAGGAATACATGTGGAATAACTTGAAAGAAAGCAGCAAAGTCATTAAATGTCCAGTGTTTTAATAATTTACCTGGTTACGAACTTCTCTTCATTGACGAAAACAGAAGGCAGATGCTGTGCCTTCATAGTCACTTTCTTCATTTACTCAGAAGAGATGAATCTAAGCAAAAGGTGAAAAAAAACAAATGCATCCACTACTGTTACTACAAAAGATGGAATAGTAATCAAGCACAAAGCTTTAGCTGGCTAAGAGTGACACAGGCTGGGACACTCAAGCTCAGGGCTCACTCACCATATTTTGAATATTTCATACTTTGCCTTAATACCCAAGTCCTAATAAAAAAAGCCACAAGCCATTCCCATCAAGGGTACAACAGCCCCTTAAATCCCAGGTACTATATCTACCAGGACTTTCCCAAGCAGTTTTAGGACTTCTTCAACTCCAGGATTATGCTGAAGTTGTCAGCAGTCTGAGACAGCAGCCCAGGTACTGGCCAGGATCCATGTGTCCACCGTGGACACAGCATGACCCAGGGTCAGCAAAACACACTGTTTTAGGAATCCAGATTCCTAAAACTAGGCAAGGGAAGGAGTGGTGATGGTTAGCAGTGTTCTGCAGCACACCAAGGAAGCAAGTGGAATAGCACAGATAGAACAAGACAGTGATTTCAGGGAGGCAGCAATAATTTCCACACTGGGATTCAAGCATATTATGCAGGCAACGAGCCAGAGCAACGAGACTTCAACAATGCATTCCTCAATAAACTTAATTATGGAGTCTAGGCTCTTTCCTTCACCCCCAGGTACCAGAATAAAAGGAAGACTTGGGAGTTAACTGAACAAATGGCATGACACATGGCTGGGAAAAAAAACCTCAGAGAATCCCGTGAAAAGCAGTAACATCTCCAAAGACTGCACTGGAAGTTGATCATTCCACTGCCATTTCTCTTATTTGGACAAGATGACAGAGGAATTTGGCTCACAGCACTCGATGCCCATTGTCCCTTAATGCCAGGGGATTGACTTGAATCTTATTTCAGACTGCATTGGACAGGGCCTGGTCAAAGCTATCTGCAAAGCACATGATTGTCTGTAGTCCCCATGACAAGCAGCCTTCCAAAAACTGATTTAGGGAACATTCAACCTTGAACAGGTCATGGCTGGGCAAAGAGGAAACACCTCTCCTCTGTGTATTGCACTACTGAGCTGCTTTTTTAGATGGCACCCATTTTCCATAATTGTATATAAATAACTTCTAAAAAACAACATATGTGGACAAATGAGAAGTTTTGCATACAAAAACCATGATCTTCACCCTACAAAATATACAGGAAGTTATTTCCTAACCCCTAAAGCCAGAGTGCCCTACCAAAATGAGCTTCACCTAAGCAGCTGGTGTTTCTAGCAGGGCTCTGTCAGGAGCTCACTGAAAGGAGCAGCACTCCCTTTGTCCTTTGGGTGACATCCATGAAGACAAAAACACACCTGCAAGCCAAACAAGCCCAGGGACTTCTGTACAGACATGAGTTTGTGTGTGAGGAATACACTGCTGTATACCACTGCTTGGCTTTTCCCTCTGAAATGACTTCAGTAACCACTGGCCACACCTTGAAATCTGATTTTATGTGATATGCTTAAGACCTCTAAGTGAAGCAGCTGCCTGTGTTAGCGTAATTTCAAGCCTTTTTTACAAGATGCAGAGGAGCTCATGTACTTTGGCACCTGAATAACTGAAGACAGACCTCAGCTTCCTCACACCTGTCAGGAAACAACATGTTAAGAGCAGTGGATAGCCGAGTCACCCCTATTAACTGTAGAGCAGCAACACTGGCAAGCTCCAGCAGCGCCTCACTGCTTGTGGCTGCACTCTTTTCTACACTATTTGGCCTTAAAATGATTCATCTGAAGGAAAAAGCTGATCTCTGCACGTGGAGAGAAGTGACCTTTACACACACACACAGAAGAGATGAACACCGTGTTTTCCTACAGTGGATGGCTCCCAGTAAATTATTTGCCTCGGACAGATTTTAAATCAGCCAGGTGCCATTAAAATGCTGGAAATAAAGCTAGCTGGAAGAGTGGGTGGTGATGGGGATAATGCTTCAGCAATGCCTTTGTCTTTCTTTCCCTCACGGCCGCAATATCCAGGGCTGAGCCTTCTCTCCCGTGGCTGGGGGGAAGCACAACTCTCGCTATGCTCTCCCCAGTTATGTGACCTGCTGTGCTTATCAGCCTTGCACCAAACACTTCCACACCACCAGCTCGCTCCAGAGGTGAGCCTCTTCTCCCTGGACCCTTCCCATGGGCACATTCTGGCTTATTTTTAGCCAAGACCTCAACCTGTGGGTTGCCACCGCGCAGTGACTTCCCCAGCACCAGTACCTGACACAACAGATGCCAGGATGTTTGCACTGGCGCTCCCTAAATCCACAAAGCTCTTAGATTTCCCATCACCTCCTGCTACCTCGCTGCTTTCCATGCCACTTCCCTGTAGTCCTTTTGAGGAAGCAAACAGAAGTAAATGCCCTTTCCACTGCTCCCTTTGATTTGAACTAAGCCAGCCATGCTAGTTTTCCAGCCACTCCAACCGTATCTGCCTGTGCCATTTATTCAAAGCCATCTCCTGACTTACTTGGTATCACACAGGTGTCTTCACCATTATGTTAAACTGGTCTAGAAGGGTAGAATTTCCTCAGATAGGTTACACCTGGAAAGAGGAATCCTGGCTGGACTAAACTGCTGGCCTGAGACCTAGCTAAGTAGAAACCTAATGCTTGGAGAAAGACTGACTGAAGCCTGAAATATGTAGTGAAGGAAAGAAAGGAAAGCAACAGGAAAGTCAGGAGGACATGAAAACTGGGGGTCCTGCAAACTGAGCACCTCTAGAAGAGGATTGCAACTATTGGAGGAGTCTAGGAAAAGCAAAGGGAAAACAGACCAGTGCACGAAACTGGGGGTCCTGCAAACTGAGCACCTCTAGAAGAGGACTGCAACTATTGAGGAGTCTAGGAAAACAAAGGGAAAACAGACCAGTGCACATTTCAAAGCTGCAAGAGCATTGTCTTGTGCGACATGTCAGGGCACAAGACAAATCTCACAAAGGTACTGAGCTGTACTTGTCTGTAAGATTCATATCTTACCTGAAATGGTTTTGGTTTTTTTCCCCCCCAAAGAAGAAGTCCAAGTGTCCGTGCAGAGACAGATAAGAGGACTTGCTCCTTTCTATTCAGTACAGTGATATTTAAGTCATTTACTTAAGGGGACAGACCAGGGACAGCAGAGTGCAGGAATGAGAAAGCAAAAGTTAAGAGCAAATGGCTACACAGATTTTTAGACAAGGACAAAAAAAGGCAGCTGCAGAGGAGCACTGGAAGGAGAGGGACACCCAGAATTGAGCCAAGGAGCAGCAGCAAGGCAGCACCTCAGTTTGTGTAAGAGCCTGGATGTGCTTTTTGGTGCATCCACACGCGAAGACAGGGCCCGCAGAGTGCAGTGCTACGCAGAGCCTCTGCCCGTGCTGGAGAAACTAAAACCCCAAAGCTCAGCAAAGACCCCTAGGTATTTTAACCCAGAGCTCCCCAAAGCTCTTCCAAACCCACAGGAAGTCAGGATAGGGCCACCCTCTTCCATTTCTTGTACAGAAACCACAAGGCTCAGCTGCCCTTTAACTCAGCTATCCACTACAGACACACACAGAGAATATTTTGTACATAGGCACAACACCATGTCCAGCTGAGTCATCTTCTAAACTCACAGGTGTCTGGTGTTTAGCAAATTTTTCAATCCTGATTGGTGGGTATTTAAGATTTGTTCAGCTAGATAAACTCCGTACCAGCAGAACAATTTTACTAGTCACATAGTCTAGTTATGGGACTTCATGTTCCAATTTTTTGTTATTTTTGTTTACCTCAGGTGTCCCTACCACCAAAGAAAAAGGTGATAATTAAAACAAAGTACTTATTCTGAACAACTGTGTTTCCCCACTAAAAAGGGCTTTGTTTTTTCCTCGGGCTTTCAGATTTCTTTACACCTTATTTTAACAATTAGCTGTTCAGTACCGAGCACTAGGAGCACTCCTTGAGTACAAATCGCAGCATAAACCCTCTGCTCAGGCAGGCTCGGAACGGGATCTACAAAAACAGCGGTAAACTGGATTATGCCAACACGGCCCCTTAACTTTGCCCGGCACAAGGAGGAGACGCCCGCACGCTGTCTCCCCGGGGGCATCGCTCGATCGGGGCTCGCACGCATCCCATTCAAGCCCCCCGGTACCCCAGTGCAGGAGAAGCTCCTTTCTGCCAGCAGGAGCAGGGCACGGGCCGTGTCCAGCCGCACAAGGTCACCGGCGTGGCTCCCAAATCCCTCCCGCACCGAGGCAAGGGCGCACCGAGGAGCGGCACCGCCGCCCGCCCCAACCTCAGCCGGCTCCCACGGAGCCTTTAGGGACTTCTGTGGAGCTTTCCTCCTCCTGTGGAGCATTCATCCTCCTGTGGAGCATTCCTCCTCCTGTGGAGCATCCCCCCGGCACCCCAGTGCCCCAGGGGAGTGTCCGGAGCCTCCCAGGACCTCGCTTCCCAGGCAGCACAGCGAGAGGAACACCCCAGCCGCCCTTGGCACTCACCTGGCCGGGCGATCCGAGCAGGAGAAGCGGCAGGAGTTTCCCGTGCCTTTCCCGGAGCCCCCAAAGAGGCATGGCAGCGTGGCCAGGGCGGACAGCCGCCTGTGCTGCTGCTGTTAATTACTGTTTGGTTTAACAAACTGGGAATGCTGGAAGCCCGGGACACTCCCCGCACCTCGGTGCACGTCGGGAATATTTACCTAGCACTTTCCTTTCTCCGAGCGCTGACAGGAGCCCGCCCTTAGTCACGGTTCCACCTCCAGGAGGCTCCGGTTAACGCTTTAATCACTAACCTGACCGAGGCAGGCAACCTGCCGGCTCCCTGGAATCCTGTGCCCAAAGCTCTTGTTAGGCTTTAAGCTCTTCTGTTTCCTAATCCATCATGAATGGATAAAGCATGCTTTCCCTCAGGTGCACGCCCATCCTCAGGGTTTGGGGGAATCACCCATCAGATCACGCCCCAGTGTAGATACACAGATTTAGAACGTTATGGCAAATTGTGACAGCACAGCTTGATCCCTTAACCCCGCACAGTTGTTTTTGCTGAACTGTGTAATACCCTTATGGACATTACTGGGCAAGAGCTGTGCCTGTAAGAGGGAAAGCATGGCCTCTTACTTTAATTGCTCAGCAGTAAACTGCATAAACAGATGCTTAAGCTAGAAAAAAGAATTGAACCAAGACACACCTTCACCATTCCTGCTGTTTGCCCATCTGTTTCCAGCAAATAATTCATCCACCAGATCAACCCCAAAACAAGAAGTTATTGGGCCACAGAGAGGAGCATGAAAAACACCAAACGTGAATTTGCCTTCGCACACATTATTGCACTGATTCATATCAAGTTCCTTCTGCTTTGTATAATTTGATGTTAGGGAGAGGCAGAACAGACTCAAACACTCAAATGTTTGATTCCTGGTCACATCCTCTCCAGGGGTGTACTTCTGTCCAGAGACAGACACACTGCCAGACACACACCACAGCAAGGACTCAAACACTCAAATGTTTGATTCCTTGTCACAGGATTCCTGGTGTTTGGGATTAAACTTTGTGTTGCAGTTTCTGGCTTTGCACCTTGAAAATATTGACACAAGGATTTCATTGGCATTTACAACACTGAGAATCACTCACAACGGGAGGGAAGCAGCACGCAAAGTTCTTTAACTCAGTTCACAAGAGCATGGGAGCTCTGTGCTGGGGCTTGGGGCTGCTCCATCTCAAGTGGGGCAGTTCAGCACAAACCCACACAGCTTCCCAGCTGCTCTAAAACCAGAGGTTTGGTTCTTCCTCTCCCAGCTTCAGGTACTTGAGCACGCTGCCTGATGCTCTGGGATCAGAGAGCTGGAGCAGAGAGCAATAGCAGCCTGACTCCTTTCAGTCTCTAACCCAAGATAATGTCAAACACCTGTTTTTCACAAGTCTGCCACCCTGCTGGACACTCACTCCCTGAATCTCTGGGCACCAGGAGCTACCCGAGTGTTTTTCTGACTGAAGACCACACTGTCGACTTACAACAGCAAAATGTAATGTTAACCTCCCCCCAAAGGATAAATCAGGCTTCATCCTGACCTCAAACTTTTCCGCTTAAAAAGCAAACAAAACCTCAGATTTCTGCAGATAGCTTTTTTCTTTTTATCTTTTTAATTTTTTTTAAAAGTTTGTAACCAAGTTTTGAAAATCCACTGCTTAAAGTACTTAGATTCATGCAAAGATGTCTCAGTAAGAAATTAATACAACAAAGCAAAGAAACCTCTAATTGTAATAAAAAACTGCAGTTCCCATTTCCAGTAAAACCAGGTGTGTTGGTCCTTACCTTGGCCTGGGCAACGTGGCTCTGGTTTATTTCTAGTTCTCTCTCTCACCCTTGAACTCTTCCTACCACTGGGCAAGTTTTGACCTCATCTGAGTCACACAAAATTACCTGGTGAGTGGTTGGGAAGGACTGGTCAGTGCAGGCTGGGAGCAGGGATGGGGAGGGGAAGCAGGTCCTCAGGGCCACAGAGCCCTGAGAAAGAAACAGAAGGCTTTGATCCCTTTCATAGAAATTCAATCATCAATGCACAGAGACAATTATTTTTTTCATCTTTCATAATCAGCATAGTTTGCATGCCCTGTAAATCTATGAACAAGTCACAGCTTGGTAATACTGCTTCACCTCTTGAGGGAAAGGGTAACAATAATTTCTTTAGAACAGGCAGGGAGTGTGATGATCCTGGAGTCTTTACAGGCTTTGTTACACTTCTGCTCCTTGCGTGATTAATAACTAAGTAATTTTAGGTTAATAAGTAATTGGAAGTTGGAGTTGAGCTACTTCATAACTTGCCCTCAAACCATTAACAAGCACACTGCTGAAGATAGGAGAGAACCTGTAAGGGGAAAAACAGAGATTCCTGTTCTATTTTTGTAGTAGACAATCACAATAAGCAGGCTGCCATGGCAGCATCACACACACGTGCTGCACTTCAGTGGAAGGACTTTGATAAACACAAAGTATTCCTTTGTTTCACAGTGAGAAGGAAAATCCCTAATCCTGTTTGCAAACACCTATTTCTAGACAACTCATTAGCTTCAAGCACAGAAAATTCTTCCAGGATTTTCTGAGCCAGCTGCTCTAAGGCAAAAGGAGAGCCTCATCTGAAAAAACCTGAATTTAACTCAAAAAACAAGTGATCAATCCTTTCATTCTCATGACAAATGCTACCAGAGGGGTGGCATGATCATAGGAACAAACCAAGAAATTAAAACCTGAATTTAGGCTGCAGAGGGCCTCCCACTCCTTAGCAAGATTATTTTGTGTCATCACAACCAAGTGCCAACAGCAGTACTTGTGTGCCAGGACGTGTTCTGGAGCCACGACTGATAAGCACAGCAGCCAGAAACTGGGTAACAGATACTGAAGTATATCACAAAAATGAAAAGCCCACAAAGGCTCATGCACTGCCACAGGCCATAATCCCTCTCACACACCATTTGGTGGATTTGAGGGCCACGAGTTTTTAAGGACTAGAAAAAAAGCAGAGCTGAAGTTGGCAGCAGCACACACGTATTGAAGGCTATGGTTTTGAATATCACATCAAGAACTGGAACTTAGCAGACACTGACCTTTGCCTGCATGGGAAGCAGCTTGCAGGTGTCACTGTTATCATCCTCATGAGCCACTGCTGGATGGGCAGGTCTGACCTAAGCATCTGAAACACCTTTAGTCATGCCTCGTGGCAGTCATTGCCTGTCCACACCCACCGAGTCATGCATTTAATATGACAGGACTTCACAGAGGTACACGGGGATTTTTACTGCCTGGAGCTACAAAATGTCACAGAGGGCAGCACCAGAGGGGACTGCCCTGTCCCACAGAGGGACAGCAATACAGCTTGTCACTCCCACTAGTGCTCAGCCAGGAGTAAAGTCACTGCCTCATCACACCCAGCCAGGACCGCACTCAAAAACTGTGACACACTCAAGGTTTTCAGTCCATCAAACATAATTTGACCAAGTTTGTTTTTGTTTTTGTTTTTGTTTTTTCCTGAAGGTCATGCTATACATCTGGATTATTCTGTCTTCAAGACACAAAACCCTTGGTCTCCCATACTTCTCACAGCTGCTATCAAAACCCTCTCAATCCCCACAAAACAACCACCCACCAATGCATTAGAGGATCCTTTTGTGCTCACTCACTCCTCTGAAATTACCAGTTAAGGCCTTGTGACTGTATCCCCTGACTCCCTTTTCCCATTTACAATGACTTTTCTTCAGTTTTTCCTTAAGGCAGGTGAGTCATGATGTGGACTGTCTCCTGTTTTCTATTTCTTTAAAAAATGTCTGTCCAGAGCTCCCCTCAATTGAGCAGTCACTTCCTAGAGTTCTGGGGAAGATTCAGATCTTAATCCTGAACTGAAATTGTTACCATCATTCCTGGAAGGGCAGACTCACCTGCTACAGCTGGGACGTCCTTGCAAAATAGCCTGCCATTTTTTCTGATCCTTCCATTTAGATGAGGTATAAATACGCGTTTTCCATTTGAAAGGTGTTACACATCAAAGCTTCTCCTGTAGAGACAAGAGGACAGTTTGTCCCTGCAGCAAAACACACTGAGATAAGTGCCAGTGATGCCTACATGTGCAGGAAATGGTGCAATAAAAGGGTGACAAACAGCTGTCTCTTGTTTCAGCTCTGCCTGAGCAGCAGGGGATCAGAGGCTGGTGGGCACTGGGGAATGGCAGCAGTGGCAGTGTGCCCGAGCAGCCCACGCTCCTGCTCACAGCCCCTGCGTGCTGCAGGCATTCCTCACACCCGCGGCTCTGCACTGTGTGCTGCTGAGCACAAATCCCTCCTGATAATCCTGTGCTCCTGAGCACAAATCCCTGATACCTCAGCCTGCCGGGAAGCTGTGAAACCGGCCACATCTGAGACCTAAAAAATGTCCCTGTAGTGAATATTGGCAAGCAACAGCCCTGAAGCATTAGAAAAATTGTTCACTGAGAGAACAATGTAATATCTGTGCATTACAGCTCTATACAGACAGTAGAGTGGATGATCTAGAAGCATCCATGGCACATATTCATTAATTTGGTCTTGAAAACATGAGCCCAGAGGGCACTGGCAAGGAGACAGTGCAAAGCAGAACAGATCAGGCTGACTCACCCTAAGCCGGGTGTGTTGAGGGGACCACTGTGACTCCTCTCTAAGCAAGTTCGTGCTCTGACACCGACACTCCTCAGCTCAGCTCAGCTCAGTCTTCTCACTGGAAATCACCCCGCAGACACTGCCTGCTCCGTGTCACTCCTGGCATTCCATATTGCTGCTTTTCCCTTACAGTATCAAATAACCCCTTGGAGCGTTGTGCTGTTGAGCACGTTTTACCAAAAATAAATTCATTTATATACTTACTGCATATCATATCCTTCTCCCGAGTGTCTGGTTGTATGGATCACTTTTCTCTTCCCATTCAGACATTGAAGGCTCAAATCCTTAGGGTCCTGGAGCTTATGGTGGCATTTATAAGTCCCCTCCAGGGCAGAGGCGGTGGCATTTCAGCAGCATTGGAGGAAACAATAGAGTCTCTAATTTGAAGGGCCAAACCCTCTTTCGTGCTTGGCTCACACATTTACCAAACTATGCTAGGCTTTATGGGAATTAAGGGGGCTAAACTTTGATTGCTGAGGACATCTGAATGGCTTTTTGGCATAGAGGTGCTTTGGAAAAAAGT